ACCGCAGGTTAGAGGGAACACTGCCGCCAAGCCCCCCCCCCCCCCCAGCTTTGGCAGCAGCAAGACAGTTGCCAGGGCATTCTCTGCTCATGCGCAGGGAACGCTCTTTTACTTTTGGGGGAATTTAAGTATCACCCGTACATTTTTTTAGATTTTTCTGCACACCTGGGGACTGCTCCAAGTGAGCATGGAAATCTTTCTGCCCCCCAAGTGCCCCCGATGTGTGGATTTAAATATCCGCACAGAGGGGGCAACCTGGCTATTAGATATATAGATGAAGCTTGAAGAAGAAGAAGAATTGGATTTATACCCCGCCCTTCACTACCCGAAGGCGTCTCAGAGCGGCTTACAATCTCCTTCCCTTCCTCTCCCCACAGCAGACACCCTGTGAGGTAGGTGGGGCTGAGAGAGCTCTGAGAGAACTGCTCTGGAGAGAACAGCTCTGAAAGAAAAGGGAGTGAGCCAAGGTCACCCAGCTCACTGCAGGTAGAGGAGTGGGGAATCAAACCCAGTTTTCCAGATTAGGTCGCACCGCTCTTAAGCACTCTTAACCACTACACAGATCTGACTACACAAAACTGAAACAGTTCTCACATAGGCCTACAAGACCAAAGGTCCAAGGTCTAAGACACAGATTTATCAAGTAGTTTCAGAGTGTAATCATGTTGGTCTGCAGTATAACAGCTAGATTTGAGTCCAGTAGCAGCTTCAAAACCAACAAAGTTTTCAGGGTAGAAGCTTTCGGGAGTCCCTTTCTATGGCACGCAATGGAGATCTGAGTTCATACATCCCAGTCAGAAGGTGGGAGGGGTGTTGCAAAGGAGGAATTCAGGATGCAGAGCTACAATGTACATTGTAATCAGCTAGATTAGAGCAGAGGAGAAATGCTAAGGGAACAGAAAATCAGCATCTATACTGAGATAAGAATCCTATATCCCTGTTCAGTCCGGGGGAGATCCATATTTCTGAATCTGTGAATGAACTCAAATTCAGCAATCTCATGTTGTAATCTCCCTTTGAAGCCTTTGAGGACTGGTGCTCTTAGGTTAGAAATGGAAGATTAAAATGTTCTCCCACTGGTTTTTAATGTCAGATGTATGCCCATTTATTCTTTTGCATGTCTGTCCAATATAGAGAGCGGACGGGCATTGCTGATATATGACAGCAAGCACAATGTTGGGAGATTTTGATGGCATATTGGGAGATTTATGGGGAGGAGCATAGTCACGTCAGCAGATCTGCTTCAGTTACCCTATCCACAAATTTCCCAAGTTCTCAAGGTCCTAGAACGCCAAATTATAGAGTTCAGCAAGCTGAGTAAACCTGGCTGAGGTTCCTGCAATTTGCAGGTTGCCTGCTTCCTGAAATGGCAAAAGTATGCATTTTTTCATTTGCCTGCAGAAGTTTCGCCCATGAACGACTGATTAGACTTGAAACCCATGTTAAGCTGTGCGTGCACATAAACATACAGATTATTAATTATAGTTTCAGAGGGTGGTCATGTCGATCTGGAACAGCTAGATTTGGGTCCAGTAGCCACATACACCCAGGCGACACAATCACTGGACCTAACAACATCCACTACACCGTCTCAGGCTCCTTCACTTGCTCATCTTCTAACACTGCATATGCCATTAAATGCCTACGATGCCCTTCGGTTCTCTGCACAGGGCAAGCAGGTCAAACACTACGCCAAAGGATAAATAGACACAACTCTGACATCAAGAATCACAAGACTGAGAAACCTGTAGGAGAACACTTCAGCCTTGCAGGACATTCAGAGTAGCCGTTTTATTGCAAAGGAACCTTAGGAACAGACTAGAAAGGGAAACTGCTGAGTTGCAAGTTATTACAACACTCAGAACAATGGAATCCCCAGGACTTAACAGGGATATTGGTTTCTTATCTCACTACATAGGCTAACTTCATTCAGCCCTTACATCTGTATTCTCACCAATCCCGCAGAAGGGCCATACATCCTCTTTGTTTTATTTTGTTTTATTTCTTATTTGGAATAATATATCAGAATAGTAGATTGTAATGCAATGTCATGAATAGTAGAAAGTAATTTGGGATGTTTGTTTTATTGTTCTTATCGTAGCCACAGGCCATAATATCCTAGCATAAAACAGTGCACCCTCCACATCAGAAAGGTTAAAACAAGCTAACATAACAGGATAACATTTTCAAAAGTTTTAAAGTAAGATGGTAAGAAATAAATGCATCAGAAAACAAACTATCCATAAAATAACCTGGGATTACAATTCAGCTACGACTCTTGGAGAATTAGCAGATACTGATTTCTTCCTAGTATTTATTGATAAAGAGATAAAAGTAGCCACTTTTGAGAGTAACAAGAGGGATAGCATCAGCCTATAAGAAATTAATACGTTCCTCATCTGACTCAGAAAAATTCATAAGAAGTTGATTCAGCAGTTTGTTTCAAATGGACGCATAGAAGAAGCAATGGAATGGTAGACCGGAATGTATTTCTCTGGTCTGGGGACAGGGGAGATAACTCTACACAGCCAGTTGCCCCGCTTCAAAGGAGAAGATGCTGTAAGGTTGCCTCCATGCTTGAGA